GCCCCAGGTTTGGCACCTGGAAAAAAAATAAGTCTTTTACTGCATCTGTATATCCTTTTTTGGTTTTCATCTGCAGCTTTTGATAATACTGCTTAGAAATGTTGTAGAAGTGTTGTGTAGCCCTGGGAAGCACTAAGGAAGATGTGAGCAGTAGGGGCTTTGCTGAGGTTCTGATGTGAAAGTCTCATCTGTCTTCTCTGATCTCTCTGATGTAGGTTGAGGAGGAATCTGAAGTAACAGCAGAAGTTGAATGCTAACACCCAGAAGTTCCAGGATGTGAAGACTTGGCCTGGATTTTTATTTTATTGATTTTTTTTTTCCCCTCAAAGCTTAGAAAGAAAGGTACTGGTGTCTCTATGGATGTGTTATCTGTGTCTCTGTAATCTCAAAACCTGACAAAATGAATCGTAGAATCATAGAATACCAGGTTGAAAGGGACCTTGAGGATCATCTGCTCCAGCCTTTCTAGAGAAACATGACTTGGACTATATGTCCCAGCACCTTGTCCAGCCAAATCTTAAAAGTATCCAACTCTATGGAATCCACCACTTCTCTGGGGAGAGTATTCCAATGCCTGATTGTTCTCATTGTGAAAAATTTTCCTCTTGTGTCCTGTAGGAATCTCCACAGTGAAGTATGCTGAACTTAACACTGCCTTTTAAGAGCGTTCAGAAAAATAAGGGGGCTGCTTATTTATGTAGGAGCAGTGCTTTGGTACTGAAGGCATGTAAAAACATCTGCGTGTGGTAGGCTAAACCGGTTACCTAGTTCTTACAGTTCTTCAAGGAGGAGTTGTTCTTAACCAGTGTCTTACCTAGTTTGTGACCTGAATACCTGAAGACCTGCTTCTTTCTATACTCCTAGCAATTACACAGAGGCATGCTTACAGTCTCTCACTTCAAGAAAAAGTAGCACATGGTTTTTGAGAAGATCTGTAGTCCTAACAAGTAATTTCCATCATCTGGATTTTTCCAAGTCCTGGTGAATAATGTGAAATAGTTAGAGAGGAAGGTAAAAGAAGATTAATGATGCCTGTGCTGATTAATTTTTGGATTGGGAGTATTACACATTCATTTTAACTCAAATTCTGTTTTAAGTAACTGGAACTTGAGTTTGGCTGCTTTGCACTGGTTTGAGTGATTAAATGAATGCTCAAGACTCCTGATATAGGAAAATTCCAAACATACAGATAAGGAAAGGAATGCCCAGATTGTAAATTGTCCCTGGAATAAAACCTTTCCTAGTGGAGTTTCTCTGTATGAATTTCAGCTCAGCATAGATTCATAGAATCGTAGAATGGTTTTGGTTGGCAGGGACCTTAAAGATCATCTTGTTCCGACCCCCCTTCCATGGGCAGGAGCACCTTCCACTAGATGAGGTTGCTCCAAGCCCCATCCAACCTGTCCTTGAACATTGCCAGGGCACAGGTTGCTACAGCTTCTCTGGGCAATCTGTGCCAGCGTCTCACCACCCTCACAGTGAAAAATTTCTTCCTAATGTCTAATCTGAATCTACCTTATTACTTTATGCTTGAGACCCTCTCTGAAATAAGAAAGGAATTTTTACTGAATAAGGAGATCCAGTTCTGTCTTTTCACCTTCAACGTTTTGTGTATTTTGTTGTTGGTAATATTTTACTGCTCTTTGATAAATATTATTCAAATAAACTTAACTCCTGCAGGCATTCTCCCCTTGAATAACATGATCTTTATTATAAAGATTTTCAAACCTCAGGTAGTAAATGAGCCCCTACAATGCGGGCCATGGGGTTTCCCACAGAGAATCCTGCAGCCAAGCGGCTCACATCTAGATAAAGCAAACCCCTGTCAAATGCTTCTGCTGGTGAAGTAGCACCAGTGTGCTAAGTGGGTCTCGCTCTCACTGGATCTAATCTTCCTCTCACTTTTTACATTCTGTAGTAATATGGCCTCATCTCCACCGCACACATGTATGTTCAGTCCCACTCTCTGGCCTCCTCCAAAGCCCTGCAGCATGTTAAGTCTGCAGTCCCTCTCCAGTGCAGTCTTTCACTCTGCCATTTATGCTTAAATATTCCCACTTCTCCAGCTCCAGCAAAGACAGCCCTGACCCTGCTTGGCTCCCATGACACTCATGCTGGCTGCAGTCCTGTGCTTCCCGCAGGGAAGAGCTGTAGGGAGAGCTGTGAGCCAGAGCTCCTATGAGCCAGAGACCCTGGGACGTGCTGCCTCTACCCTGGTTCTCCTTCATCTTCTCCTACAGTTAGAACAGCCAAGGTCAGGGAGACCCTTCCAAACCGGACACCTGTCTTCTGATCTGCAGGTCAGAAAGTATTTCCTTAAATAGGTTTGGGTATGAAATGGAATTGTGGTGGGATCTCAGTATCTCTAAGGCTTTAAGAAAAATTATGCTCTAACCCTTAGTACACAACCCCCCAAAATGGAGCCTTTCTGATATGTATTTTAGATATATTTTTCAAGTTATGATTACTTCCTGGTGGTAGCTGGGAGTATGAAATACTAAAGTCACTCAAGCTTCATTTTTGCAACTTGCCTCTGATAATTCTGTCTCTTTTAAAAACCCAAACCATTTACATTAAAATATTTGTATTTATGACTGGATGGAAAAATCTAGAGAGAGGAGAATTTTTAAGGGGAGTGTTTTTGCTAAGTTGTAGCTGTAAAGCCAGCAAATAATCTGACATGAAGGGAGCAAAGTGCACCTGGAAGAACATTGCTCTGCCTCTTGCAGAACTCTGTCTTACCTAAATCACTGGAAATCTGGCTCTTCTGTGGCTCTGGTGTTTCTCATTGAAATGTACTGAGAAAGGTGAGGCAGGAAAAGAATTCTCAGGCATTTAAGTGGGAGAGAAGAAACAGCTGCAGCAGCTTGTCACAGCTTTAGACTTCAATAGTGGGTTGATACAAGAAAATAATCACTGGATCTACTTGTGGTTACAGCAGAGTTGTCTTCCAGTGAGAGAAAGTCTTGATAAGGCAAAGAGCAACTGTCTTGACCTTTGTACCTCTTGGGGTTTTTAATGTATCTAAAGCACATCTTCTGTGGTAATAGCCTTAGTAGCCAGGGTGGTCTCTCCAAACCCTGCTCACAAATCTCCCTAACTGCACCCTGCAGAAGGTGGGATTTGGAGCTGCTGAAAGCTGGTGATAGGGGTTGCATCACCTCTCTTCCAGGCCCCTTTGCTGGGTTTCCTGCTCTGAAGCTGAATTCCGTGCATGTACAGTGGGCAGTCATAGAATCATAGAATGGTTTGGGTTGGAAGGGACCTTAAAGACCATCCAGTTCCAGCGCCCTGTCATGGGCAGGGACACCTTCCACTAGATCAGGTTGCTTAAAGTCAGAACAGCACGTAATTTTGTGTCATTAAATCATTAGAGCAGCGAAGGTGAGCACAGCACTCAGGATCTGCTAATTTAGGGTGCTGGGAAGTCTCAGGCAGTTTGGACACCTGCCTGTCACTGACCCCTTCATATTAACGCAGCCAAGTGTCCCCCAGTCTCCTTACATGTCCTTCTGAGCAGGCGTTCCTTGGGCAGGCAGAGCCAGGACACCTCTGTGAGGTGCGGGACAGCCAGCCCCCAGTCACATCTGGGCACTGGACCCAGTCAACACTCATTTGACAGCTACAAACTGAAAGAGGAGCCCCAGGGAAACTGGGTCTGGAAGACAAGGCCCTGCTCCCTACAGAACTGGTATCAGCCAGCATGTTTTCAACACCAGTTGAGCCTTTGTTCAAGAACTGCTTGTTTGAGCCCCAGAGACTGGCTAAGCAGAGAGGCGTCCAGCAAGTGAACTTCTAAGAGATTTTAGCTGCAGAAAGGTTCTGGGAATGTTCGCTTGCACTGGAGGCAAACCTGGAAACCTTGTCACTAAGACGTGGGCCAGGATGTGAAGTTGGCTCAGCAGGGATGCTTGGAGATACCTCCACCATCCTCCAAGAGGCTGCAGCCATCATTCTTCCAGGTACCAGGAGGCTGAAGGATGCTCTGTACTGTGGGTGAAGCCCATAATCACGACCTTGTAAACACTGATAGAATAGCTTTGGTCACAGTAAGGCCTAACAGAAGATGGGAAACCCCTACCGAGGCTGCCAGCTCCAGGCAAAGGTCGATGCTGAGGCACAGCTTCAGCTTAAGCATTTAAATTCACCCCCTTTAAGCAGCCACTGGGCCTCGGCGGGGCACGACCGGGGGTCCCGCCCGCGGGCAGCTCCTGCTCGGTCCCCTCGGTGTGACATACTCGGGCCGGAGCGTTCCGGCCGCTCCGACCCGTGCCGGGGGCCCACGGCTGCTGCGGCCGCTGCCGGGACCGGGGCCGGGGTCAGGTGCGCGGCTCCCCGGGAGCGGCTGCCCCCCCGCCGTGTGCTCTCCGGGCTCGTCCATCCCGCTCCTAAATCATCCCCGCCTGGGACTCCCCGTTGCCGCTAAAGATTAAGTTCTTGATTTTCTTGGCTGCAAAAGCGGCAGCGAACAGCTCAGACTTTGTTTTTCTGCTGCCCCCGAGGCGTGATTTATTGGGTCCCTGTTATCGCACGATCGGGCTTCGTTCAAAATGTTTCTCCGGGCCGATTCTATACCGCCAGGATTTATTTTGACTGCCCCTCCTTATTAACGTTACCGCCTGTTAATCGCTCCCCGTTCACTTTGCAATCGCCCGCCCGCGCCTAGTGCCGTTCGCGTTTCCACCCGCGTTTGGACCCACGCAGGAGGGTCGGGGCCCCGAAGGCAGTCACCACCGACCCCTTTCCAGCGGCCGCGGGACGGAGCCTCGCCCGGGCCCCCTCCGCCCCGCCGGCGCTCCCAGCCCACCGGTTGTGTTCCTGTCCTCCAGCAAAAGCGTTACTTCATCCTAAGAGAAACAGCGGGCGCGGGATCTCCGCACCGGCCGGGGGGAAGAACGGGGCCGTGAGGAGATGCCGCCCTCCGACAGCTGCGTGATTAATGGCGGAACCCCCGGGGAAGGGGCGGTCGCTGCTGCCCGGGCGGGCGGGGGGAGCCCAGCGGCCAGGTGCGACCAGCCCCGCCTCGCCCACCGGCCGCGACGCCTTAAGACGGGCGCCGCGGGACGGGTCGTGTTGGGGCTGTGCCGGGCGGCTCCGCTCCGGGCGGGAACGGTAAGTTCATCCCCGGGATGGGGACCGAGGGGTATCTCCTATACCGGTCGCGGCGTTGGATCCCAGCAGGGGCCGGGTTCATCCGCCGCCGGTGCGGGATGGGGCAGCCGCGGTACCGCAGCTGGAGGGGGCTCGACGGTACGGGTCGGGTCAGCGACTGTGCTGGCTTCGCACGGGAACGGTCGAGATGCTCTTTCGCTTCTTCGGAGACAGTGGTTTCGTTAACTATTACCGAGTTACGCGAAGGACGAGGTGCTCTTAAACCCGATGCAAACCAACGCAGATTCACTGTATTCCCCCTCTAGGAACAACGGCAAAAGTTGACAGCAAGGTTATCGGAGGCTTTCGTCTATATCTGAGGTTTCCACCTATTTCTTCCTAGTTTGTGTGCTCCGCTTTGGTGTTTTCGATCTTTTCCTGATGCTCTTTTGCTCACACGGAATATGGAACTAAAATAAGTGTTGTGTTGTTCCGTAAACTGATTAGGTTTCAAACTGATTCTGCCTTTGTACTGTCATGTAAAACCACTAATGCATCTGCCCGCTTTAGAAATATTGCAATAGGAATGCTTTAAAAAGAATATAAATACTTTAAGAATACTTAAAAAGATAAACTCTCACCCCTGCATTTCCAGGTGTGCAGCAAGCAGGTGTTGACAAAAATCGTTGAAATGACCTTAAAATCCAAACCTCTCTTTTAAGGAGGTTACATGGAAACCGGCCGTTGCTCAGGGGCATTTCGTTTACTTTAGCGCTCAGCAACAGGTTTTCGGACCGTGAGGTTTGGGTGATCGCGACCTCCCCACCGGGAGGGTGACACTGCCCACCCCAGTGTGTGACAGGAACCACCGTGTTCTGGCTGCATTTACTTGCACACCTACAGCAGATCCCGTGTTTCTACGCAGTGGGTTTTCCTGAGCCTTTTGCTGTATGTATATGACAGAAAATCTGACAGAGAACGGATTAATTCAGAATTAAATCTTTCATTTTTCACAGCTGAAATTTTGCCTTTTCTTGTTTTCCATAGGCCCAGGATTTCAGCCGACGTAGGTGTGAAGCTTGTAAACCAGAAATTCCTACTTCAAGGAGTGCCCAAGGAGATGAGGGTTTTAGGTACATGCATTTTAATGTCCTGTACTTCCTGCAAAACTCATCCCAGTTCTAACTGTGGCTACGTACCAACACAGCACCATAAGAACAGTGTGTACACCAACCCTAGTCCTGTACTGCAATAGGCAAGCATGGATTTATATGAAGCTGGTCTGTGTTCTTGGGCAATTCAGGCTTTTCCACTGATAGGGGAATAATACCTCATTTTGGTGGGATTTCAGTTGGGTGGCAAATGAGAAACACTGCTGATAGGCATGAGCCCGTGCTTTTCTGCTAGTTCTCATGATCGTCTTGACTCTGCAATAATGATGATTTTTGTTTTCTTTTTGATAATAAAATGCATTCAGACCTGACTGTGCCTGAACACACGAGAAAAGAAAAAAAAAGCACATGGCACATTTTCTTCCTGTGAGTTAAAGGAAACAGCCAATTTAAGGACCATTTTTCAGCCCTCCCTCAAAACAAGCTCATGTAAGCTTAGTGTGAGTTTTATGTTGGTCATAGATATTACCATTAAAAAAAAAAAGAGGGTTTTCCCCTTTGGTTTACAGTTATGATGCGCACACAGACTTTCACAAATAATCTCAGCCTGAACCGTACCTTTGTTTAAGAGAACCTGACCTGATAAAACTGCGAGCCTTATTAACAGAAAATCACAATAGAACACTCAAAATAATAGTGCCTTCTGAATGCCATCAAACCAGAGCATTGCAAAATGGGTTACTGAGAAACCTCTCCTCCTTTCTGCTAGAAACCTGTGATTTGCTTCATTGTCCTGGGTTTTGCTGTGACCGGCTGCAGAGGGGCATCTGTGAGACTGAAATGCTTTGTAAAATCGAGGTTAATTTTTGCAAATTTAGATATTTGGTCATTTATGTACATAATTTTTGTTTGTTTTTAATGGTGTAGTATTTGAATGAAATTAAAAGTTTTGATGTCTTGTTCTTGTTCTTCTCTTCAAGCTGGGCTGTCACAGAAACAGCTGCTCCCAGCACGTGGAAGCCAGGATCCGAGAGGCCTGGGAAGGCTGCTTGGCTGAGGGCGACAGGAACAGGTATGATTCTGGCTAAGGAGTACTGCACTTTTGGAGCATTGATTGAATTAGGCTTTACTGCAGAATTAAATGAACTAAAGGACTGTGAGTGTTACTCCACGGAGAGCTGGCTGACGCTTCTGAAAGCTAGGGAAAGACCTCCCGGGCTTTACATTCAGCTTTGCTCAAAAGTTTTTTGCTGTTGTTTTCCAAAGGTTCTCTTGCCCCCCAATGGCCAAAGAACAGCTTACAGGATTCTTTTAAAGCTTGAAAGTGTAGAAGATAGAGGATTAGCAAGGAAATTTGAATGTTAAGGGAGGACAGGAGAAGTCTGCTCCTGATCCTACAAAACTGGACCAAGTTTTGCCCTCCAGAACCTCGGCGCCGCACTCTGTGGCTCCACATATTGCTCTGCCTGAAAACAGTGATTTTCTTTCTTTAATCCAAACTGATCACCTATAAGACCTTTTATGAAATAATTGCAGCTAAATAGAATACATATATATAGAGAGAGACAGTCCTACATGCCAAATTATACAGATAATGTTTTCTAAAAAATCACATTTAGCCTAATTTTCAGTTGGTTGTGAATGGGAGCCACCAAGGTAGTGCTGCTCAGCAGAGCCTGTTTTCAGAAAGGCTTTTCTTAGAAGCAATCTCTGGACTCTGAGGGATTAAAACTTGCTCTATGCAGTACTGTCCAAAAAGTATTAAATACAATCTTCAAAGAGTTCTGCTTCTGTACCTGTGTGTGGTATCAAATTTGCAAGCAGCGAGTGGAAGAGCAGCTTGCACCGCTGCATCCCGGCTTTCCCTGGCATGGGCAGCACTTGTATCTCCAAAAATCTTTAGTTTTGGAAAGCGTTTGCTGCAGGGGCTGGCTCCAGAGATGTTCTTGTTGGTTGCAGGTCCCTCCCCGCCGGGGAAGTCACCGATGGACTGCGGACACTTGCGTGAGAGGGGCGAGGAGACCTCCAGCCCGGGCGCAGAGCCCGATTCCGTGTTGCCTCCTGCTGCCGGCAGCAATTCCTGCAGCCCCGCCGTGGCTGGGAGGCCGGCCGGAGCCTCTCCGGGCAGACCCGCTGCCGCTAATGCCGCCCGGGAGCGCAGCCGGGTTCAGACCCTGCGCCATGCCTTCCTCGAGCTGCAGAAGACTCTGCCCTCCGTGCCGCCCGACACCAAGCTCTCCAAGCTGGATGTGCTCCTCCTGGCCACCACCTACATCGCACACCTCACCCGCAGCCTTCAGGATGAGGAGGAGTCACCGGGAGAAGGCTTGGGTACCCTCCGAGGGGATGGGTACCTCCACCCTGTCAAGGTAGGAGGGCTGAGGATCAGCTGCTATCTCCTCTCAGTGGAGAAGCAGAGTGGTCTTAGATGAGACTAAAATTTCAATTTATATTTACCTTGCTAATGTTAATATAGATAGGCTTGAGATATTTGGGCTTGTTCATCCTGGGGAAGACTCCAGGGAGACCTTATAGCAGCCTTCCTAGTGCTAACAGTGCCTAAAGGGAGCCTATAATAAAGCTGGAGAGGGAACTTTTTACAAGGGCATGTAATGATAGGACAAGGGGGAATGGTTTTAAGATGACAGAGGGTAGATTTAGATTAGTTATTAGGAAGCAATTCTTCCCTGTGAGGATCGTGAGGAAGCTGCCCAGGGAAGCTGTGGCTGCCCCATCCCTGGCAGTGTTCCAGGCCAGGTTGGATGGTGCTTGGAGCAACCTGGTCTAAGTGGGAGGTGTCCCTGCCTATGGCAGGGGGGTGGAACTTAGATGATCTTTAAGGTCCCTTCCAACCCAAACCGTTCTGTGAATCTATTCTATGAGTATGTGAGAACACTGTCTAGACTAGCCACTGTCTAGGTGCTCAGGGCCTGTTGGAAATGTCCAGGAGTTGTCTCCCTCAGGGACTTTGCACAAAACTACCAAATACAGTGTAGGTCCAGACCCAGTGGGGCTCGGTCCCTTTGGAAGTAAGTACCAGCACATCCTCAGTCTCCATGTGGGAACCTTGGTGATCCCCCACCAAACCCATCGGAGCCCACTGGAGGGGATGGGTCTGGCCGTGATGCATGGTCCTGTGACAGCAGCCCCAGGGCCGGGCCCACTTTGGCTCTCTTGCCAGGCAGCCATGGCATGAAGGGCGGTGTTAATCACTGGCCACATGTTAACCCCTCCTGTGAAAGTGCTTTCCTGATGTGTTCATTTCATGTGGTTAGTGTAGATCTTCCCTGAATCCAAAAAAATAACATCAGGGCAATGTGGAGGCAACAAGAACAGAGAACCGCTCCTGGGGAGGGCCTGCGGCTGGAAACTGTGTTCACACGCATTGCTCACTGACTGAAGGGACTCGAATACCCTAGGGTGTTTTCTTTGGCTCTGGTCTTGGGGGGCAAGTTAAGAGGACTGGGGTGGGTTTTTTGTTTTGTTTTAAACAGTCTGATGAATTCAGAATGATTTAATTAAGATTAATCTGTGAGGTAATCTTTAATTCCTATAAAGTGAACTTAATTCAGAGTTTCTTATTCATGGCATTGGTCACTGTAAAAAGTGCAATACGAACGTGTGCTGCTGAGGCCAGATGATTGATCAACAGCTCCTCCAGAAAGCAAAACCTGTACAGCAATTGGAAGATGGCTCTAATTTAAGAAACAAAAATAGCGTGATATATTTTGAAGCAAGTTTGACGCCGCTTCTGTTAGTCCCTTGGTCAGAGCAAAAAGGACACAGGTCTCCTACAGTGGTTATCAGCTGCCAACTATTACTTGCAGAAAAACACTTGTAAATAGTTATTACAGCAGCTAAATAACCCAGATGTGCATTTCCCAGGCTGTTGGAATACAGTGATACTGGATTAATTTAAGCAACTGCATTTTTTAATCTTACAGATGTGCCATTTACCTGCATTTATTTAGTCTTGAAATTCTATCAATCTAACCAAGGTTATGTGCCAATTTCATTGTTTTAGTTGGGACTAAAACACATGTCACAGATGAATCATGTTATGTGCTTCAAAAACAACAAACCCGAGTGCAGGATATGAGAGAACCAGGACAATGAGGACCTTAACAACATTTGTGTATCAAGCACAGTAAACACAGTGAGGAAAGTACCCAGGTACAGTTGTGTGTAACTGAACAAAAGATACAGTTAATGGCTTTCAACTCAGCTGTCTCACTGGTGACAAATTCATTACATCATTCTTGAGATTTAAATACTGAATGAGGTTGTATGGTCTTTCCAAGTGAGAAAATGCTGCTGCTTCCTGTCTTTAAATAGAAAAGCTGAGATTCAGCTGCAGTATTAAGCTTCTCTAGCTTTTACAGCAAGGTTTGTAGTTTTTTTTCATCCCAGGAAAGGTGCCAGCCTACTTCCCAAAGTGTCCAAAATAGTGTTCTTTTGGAACAAAAGTGTTTTTCTGCTAGTGATAATTGGCATCTGATAAGTACCATCAGAGACCTGTGTGTCAGGTATTTTTGCATCCAATGTGTATGACAAGTTGTCTTTCAAACGTCTATCTCTCTGATAATGAACCTGGCTTATCAAAGTGGAGCTGAACCCTTCCTCTTTAGAGATGGGTGTCCAGCTGCTGTCTGCAGTAAGGAACTTCCTTGGGTAAAGAAACCTGAGCTGCAAGTATCTAACACAAATCTAACTGATGACTCCAACAATCACGGAACGGAAAGATGGGGTGTCTCAGTGTTCATTGCCAGAGATGACAAAGACAAGATGCCAGTGCTGCAGCAATTAGATAAAATTCCCTTTAATACAGTTTTTTTGCAGCCCCTGTATCGTAGGGCTGAGAGCATGGAAGGTACGTGCACAGGGCTGCAGTCTCTGCAGGTGTTGGTGTATCCGTGTAGTACCTCCAGCACCATAAAGAGGAATGCTTTGCTTTATTTGACCAATGGTGCACTGGTTATACGTGTGGTGGTAGGAGATGATTGACCAGCATGGCCCACTCCTGCCTGCTGGGTCACAGTGGGGTTTGGGAGCAGAGCCTTGTGATTAAATACCAAAGATAACAAACACCCAGGCTGAAGTTCCCTTACCCAGCTTCTAATGACTTTTCCCAACAGGTGACAAAATGGGATAGCAAGCTTCCTATTTTCTCATTCCGTAATCCATCAACACTTAAGCTTTGCAGAGTGCGGCACTCAGACTGCAAAGATCCCAGATGGGTCAGCACTCTGCTTGTCTCTCCTCTCTTGCAGAAGTGGCCGATGCGTTCCAGGCTATACATTGGAGCCACAGGGCAGTTTCTGACTCACTCAGCGCAAGGAGATGGTGCAAACCAAGGAGAAACATCAACAGCTTCACAAATCTAACCTCCCTTCTGGCTTTTAAAAAGAATTATTTATTACACCTTATATATTTAAGTTAAAAATAGTATCTATAGACAAGCTGCAATTCCTGAAATACTGTTTATAGAGAAGGAATTTGATTCTTAAATGTAATTAATACCTCATTAAGTGAATGTGATGTGTGGTTGGTTCTATCACAGAGGGCATTGCTGGGGTCTGATCAGAGGTATTAGGGAAGGTGACTGCAGCCACCACCAGCAGAAGCGGCTGCTGGTAGAGTGGGACACTGCACCTCCTCTGGGACAAGTGGTGGAGGGGTGTGCTGCAGAGAAGGGGGGGAAAAGGCAGGGTGCAGTACTGGCACTGAGCACTGTGGGCTCAGGTGGAAAGCAAAAGGCAAGCCTCAAAATAGCAATCAGAATCCTGTCTGCACTTTCTTCACTGCATAAAGCCAATGCTGGAAATCCCACGGACCACGGCTGTCAGGCAAGGGCTTCATCCTTTGGGGAATCTTAGATGTCCAGAGCTATTCCCAGAAGAGTGGATGCATGTTCACCTGCAGTAAAAATGTGCTGAGGTCTGTCTTGCAGCACCATGTCCAATAGCCACGAGCTGCTCTTGCACATTAAGTATAACTTGTGTCCATCCATGATTGTGGTGCATGTTTAAAATGTGTTTAGGTGTTTTCCCTTGCACAATCACTTATCTGTTCAAGACACTGAGGAGCATTTCTCTGTTCTTTTAGTGGGCCCATGTATTGAAGCAGGTGAACTTCACGTTGAAGCCTGAGGAGTTAGTTTGTTCACAGCACATTTTTCACTAAAGCAGCATCTGTATTTAGGCAGGAAAAGTTGAAACTAAGCGCATAAGTGCCATCTGATGTGTCTGTTCTGTAAAACACTGTACTACTTGTTATTGCCGAGGTAAACCTTTTATTAAACATTATTCAGTGAACATTATATACTTACCAAGTTGTAAAAACTGCCTGTTTTTCATTGTACAGGACTGCTAGTTTTTAATAGTAATATTCTGCATTTAGAGTAACTTCTTTCTGAAGACTTAATGGTTTAAGTTCTAAAATTACATTTAGGAAAAAGCAAAACAAAAATACTAGGAGGAACAACCTTTATATATGCTATATATATATATCTATTGCTCTTGGTCTTGAGTCAAACCTGTGATGTCTTTCAGGGGTGCTGAGCTGAGTGCCCAGGTTCACAGAACCCCAAGCCCCTGGCAAAAGAGAGAATCATTAGAAAGAGCTGGACAAACCATCTAAGATGGCAGTATGGTGAAAGTGTGGGCTGCCATCACCCCTGCAGCACTCTGAGCTTTTAGCAAGATTATTCTTTTAAATAGTAAACGTACTTTAAATATTTGAAATACATTTAATATATATTTTAGGCATCTACTTCATATTTCCAGCTGGAAATGGTAAGTGGTTTATTAAGATATGATGGTTACACTGCCAGGGCACCACTCAACATGGGAGCTACTCCATTTTGTGAAAAAATACATACAAAAGAGTAGTTCTGCATACAGAAATATCTACTCATAGATAAGAGCCTGACTTTTTAATATATATGTGCTTTCCAATTACTAAAAAGTGGGTTAGCACAACCTCTTATCATGGGAATGGTTATTTGTGTGGGGGGTTCTTAATGAGGCAATGTGAAGGAGTTGTAGAGGTGATGACAGTGAAGTAAGAGAGAGTGACAGAGCAGTGAGGGTTCTCAGGAGGACTCAGCTGTACGAGATGAGGGTGAGACAGATCACTCTTCAGACAAATGTTAAATGGTGACACAGAAGCACAGAGAATTCAAACTGGTTTTGTGTGCAACTGAGATCTGAACGGGTGGCATCAGGGAGAAAAGGGCAAGTGAAATCTCAGCCAGAACTCAACATCAAACCTTGAGCTGCCGCTGTGGAGCAGTGGTGTGACAGTAAAAACAGACCATGTGTGACTCAAGCACACAGAACAGTGTGAGGAAAACAAAAACTGTGGTTATGGTCCGCATCAACTGTGTGCTCTCACCTAGCACAGTGGTGCTGGTTACTTCATGGGCTCTTAAATAATGCACCTGGAAGGGACAGAATTCCAGAAAGCAGGAAAAAAAACGGTGATAAAAATGATAGGTCCCCTGTTGTTTTTAAAGGCCTCTTTCCTCTAAATGTAAATGAACGATTTGGAGTGTTTATCCATGAAGTAAGCATGAAAAATGGAGAGTGATAAGGGTTAAAATCATAGGAAGTTATGCATGGATGGTATGGAGAGGACACGTCTACTCAAACTTTGATTACGGTAAACGTGTAGTATTCACAATGCTTGTAAGGCAGAGGAGCCAAGCAGCAAATTCCATGGCTACTGTGCACCTCATCTGCAGAAGCTGTGGCTACAGAGGTGACAGCGCAAAGATCTCAGTGGCATTCTACAGATGCGTTAAAGGCCAGTGAGATCTGCACAGTTACAACAGAACTCAACAGAGTTACCTGAGAACTCCCCATCAGTATGAGCTGGGATTTTTTTATTCCAAGACATTACTCAGCATCAGCTGCAAATTTGTATGCCTTTTCCCCCAGCACCAAGACCCCGGGTTGGCAAACCCACTTCCTTCCACCAGTGCAAGAGCTCATTTTCCAGGAATCTACATCAGGATAAAAAACAGATCCTCTGAACCTCTTTTGTTTCAAATCTGATGCCTGGATCCAACGCCAGGTTTCTTAGGAACAGTTCATACCATTGTATACTGAAACAAGTTTGGCATTGGCACTGGAAATAGGTGCTTAGGAATAAAACCGTGATATTCACGCACTGCTATCAGAAGTAACATAAAAGTCTTAGCGAACCTCAGTTACTGAAATCCCAGCTTTTCCTTGAAAGGGATAGGACTGGTAAACCTTAATGGCCGTATCTAAATAACCTGCCTATGCAAAGCCTGCTGCACATCCATCTTTCCTGACACACCCTACTGCGGCTGTAACAGCAGCACCGTGCCCTGCAGCCACACGGCACCTTCCCTTAGCACACACCCCGCCAATCCCTCCTCTCTCCCCGAGACCTTTACGACAACGCACTCATTGTGCTTGTGTAAACTAAGGAATGACGACACCACAAACACGAATTTTCCATGGCTCTGACTTCTCAAAGGCCGATTGTGGGAACGGAAGCGTTTTAAACGCCGGGTTGTACATGAGACACACCAAAAAGCAAGCGAAGGCGCTCCCACCCCTGGCAGTCCTGTCTGTAACCCGCCTGGAACGACCCACCTCGGTTCTCTCAGCGAAACCGCCACCCCAGGAGCCGTCCCGCACACACAGCCCCGGGGCTGCCGCCAGCTCCTCCACACCGGGCCCGGCACGGCGGCCCCGCAGCTCCCTCGGCGCCCGCGGGCTCCCGCGACACGCCGGCTGTCCTGCCCCAATTCCAGCGGGAGCGCCGTTACGGTGGCCGCGGCACCAACGGACCGCGCCTCCCCGCAGTGCCGAGGACGAGCTGTGTCGGCGGCGGCCTGAGGGCGGGAGACCAAGGCGACGGGGACGCGGGTGCCACCCGCGGGCCTAGCGCTGGGGGCTGCCAGGACCCCACAGAGACAGGCCGAGCCCCGCGCCGCTGCAGAGAAACCGGCACCGAGCGGCATCGCAACCCTCCCGTGCGCATGCGCGCGCAGCCACGCCCAAGCCCTCGGTCAGGCCCCGCCCCGCCGCAAAGAGCCGCGGTGGAGCGCGCGTTTCCCGCCCCTGGCGCGCGGCCTATTTAAGGGGGTCCCGGAAGGAGCTTAGCCTTTTCGCGCGTCCCGCGGGCGGTGGGTTAGGGTGTGTGGGTGAGGGCTCGCTGGGTGTGGAGCGCCCTGCGGCGGGCTCCGGGTGGCGGTTCAGGCCGGTGCGCCCGCGTTTGCGGGACCCGCGCTGCAGGAGCGGCCCTCGGCGGTGCCGATCGGTCCGGCGGCGGGGACGATGTACGGTAGCTCTGTGACTTGTGCGCGGCTCCGTCCGTGGCGCAGCCGCCCTCACCGAAGCCGTAACTTGGGCCACCGGGCGGCTGTGCGGGCCCTCCGGCAGCGGCCGAGGGAGTGGTGGACCCGGCCTCAGGGGCGTAGCCGCTGCCTCCCCGAGGCAGCTCCTCCGGCAAGAGCATATGCTCGTCCAAGCAGCAGAGCCGTTTCGCGCTTTTTTTCAGAGGAATTAGAACTGTTCTCTGCTGTTCAGCTTCCGCGGGGTTGGAACTGAATGATCTTTAAGGTCTCTTCCAACCCAAACCAGGCTGCGGTTGTAAGTTCAATTCTGGCAGTGCAAAACCATACAACCTCAGGAGCTGAAGGGGCGGGTTGCTGGCACCTTTCCCTTAACGGCGAAAGACATCACTTAAAGGTGAGCAGTTATCACCCTGTTGTAACTCTTTCGGCTGCCAAGCGTAGTGGCTGTGTACTAACAACAGGCTGAGTCTGGATGCTGGAGTTGTGGAGTACAGGTTGACGCCCGTTGGCCACAAAGGGACGTGTGTGTGTTGTGAGAGTAAAAGGGACCTTGGAAGTGTGCGCTGCTCTGTTGCCAGCGAGCTGCGGTGGTCGCTTTGTCTCTTGACTCATCGAGTCGTCAAAGGAATGACAGATCAGACATCCAGAGAGACTCGGTTTTGCTGATAAATCATTTTCATCGGCAGATGCATGTCCTAATTCTGAAGATAAATGGCCTCTTTTCTCCTTTTGGGAATTTGGTAAGTGGTGTGTGGTGACCCTGACTGCCCTGTAGTTGTGGCCTCTCAGGGAGCGGGAGCATGACCCCAGGGGCTCAGTGGTCACTGTGGCCATGCTTTCCTGCCAGAATCATCGTGTGAGTGCTGACCCTAACTCAACCAATAGGGAAATGGGTCAGTAGTGGTGGGTGAGCTGGGGTTAAAGGCTGTACCCTGCTGGGGTGCTCCTCTCCCCAGGGATGGCTGTTCTTCAGGATCAGTGTAGCATTCCTGCAATCAGTCATTCTTGACGCGGGAGCTCTTTAGGTGAATCTTGTCTAACCAGCAGCTCAGCTGGTGCTGTCAGTAGTTGTTATCCCCAGGTAAGGACAAAGGCAGCAGTGAGGTAGCTGTTTGTTTGACTCGCTTACTTTCCCCAAGGAAATGTCAATGCTTTTGGCTACTGGCTCAGCAGTGGAGTTCTCTAAATGAAATGTCACTGATTTCTTTTCACTGTTTCAGGCAGCAAGTGAAGTTATGAGTTTGTTACTGGCTTTGGGAATCCTCAGTCTGGACCCTGCTATGCTGTTGCCTTGCAAGCAGAAAGATGTCACATGAATTCTGGAGCTACAGAAGTAATTATTTCTTCCTATACCTAAAAATGTTGAGGAAAGCCTTCTGAAATCTAGAGTTCTGAAGATGCTTTTTGGCTTGTAAATTCTCTTACAGGTGGAACAGGGAGAAATATGCTTACATGTAGTGTTAAGAGGTTGAAACTCAATAACAGAAGCTGTTATGCCAGCTGTAAAACCTCCCAGACGTGGTCCAAATCAGATGTAACCCAAGAACTGTGAAGGAATTGTAAGGGAGAGGTTTGTAATAGTATCAGAGAATCTAGTTTTTAACTGGGGTGGGAAACAAGGCTTCTGCTGTGGAGAACT